AAGTGTCTACTTTTGAGAGTTTAGGGTAACTATCTATCAGGGTTCATCAGACAGAATACTAACAGATGAATCCTAAACTTTCAATTCAGGGTAACTTCTATCACTACCCCAAAGTACATAGTACCTATCTATAATTTACCCTATATAAAATCTATACTACATATATAAAGCAAAACAATCCACATGTCATCCCCTTTCCATAAAAAAATTGCTCCAAAATCCCCATTTTATATTTATCTTTTTTTTGAATTTTCTTATTTTTTAATGCCACTTCCTTTTTCAAGTAGATCAATGAACATCTGCCAACTCAACCTCAACATGGTCCTCTCCCTTTATTAGGAACCTATCCCTTTTGTTAAGGTAAATTATCTAGAGAAAATCACAAACAATTTATCAACTCTCCCTCTCCCTTCTTAACGAATTTTTGTGAAACGTTTGTATTCTTCATCCCACTTTTGTTGTTGCTTCTTCCATTAAATCCCTAATTAAGGTTTAATCGGAGGTAATACAAAAAAAGGGTAAGGAGTATGGTCACCGTGATGGTAGCATTTCCATGAGAGAAGAGAAACAACATTTCCTTTGAGGTTCTTAACATTCAATTATTCTATCTAGATGCTTTGCTCCATCTCATTGGAAGAGCTTCTACTATTGTCTCCAAAACAACATTTGCTCCAATTTAGCTTATGAAGGCCTTGTCAAAATGATTTGATGAACTACAATCTAAAGCTAATAATGAGTAGTTGAATAGTCTTTGTGAGTTCAATTATGGATTGGTTTTTGCTTGATAAATAAAAAAAAAAAAGTTATTTGTTAAGAGGATTGCCATCATGGACCAAAGCTAAGACTTGAAATAATTTGGGGGAGGAGTGAAAAGACAAAACAAGTTGTGAATGAAGCCGGAACTTGAACTAATAAGGCTCCTTTTGCTTCAATTTTGTTTAACAAAATCCATGCATCGCATAAATCCTGAGTAGATTCTATAATAATAAAGTAGGAGGCAAAGAGAAAAGAACACAATCACTTTTGAGTTTTTTTTTCAATTTCTTTTTAGTATGATTAGAATAGGTTCAAGCTAGGCCCAAGATAATCCCAATCAAGGGTATTTGAGTTGTGAAGGGGCACATGCCATATAAACATCAAAGGCCTAATTATGGGAGATTAAGAAAAGAAAAGGCAACTTAGACATTAAAGAATAAGGCGATAATTGATTCTAGCAATTTTATGTCCATAGTTCAATTTGAAACATGATGATGATGATGATGATGACAACGACAACAACGACGATGATGGTGATAATAGCAACTACAATGACGATGGTAATGACAATGGCAATGATGGTGACAACAATAATAATAATTGTGGGAGATGAATGCTATGAGAATTTCAAGTTGACATGTTAGAAGTTATCAAAATAAGAAGTTATTAGAAGTTTAAAAATTGTACTAAAATATGCTAATTAAATGGGAATGTTTTTGTCACCAGTACCCCTGGTTTGTAATTTTACATACTATGAACATAAATAAAATTAATTAAAATTTAAAAATACCCAATAAAAATTATTTATGACTACATTTATTAGTGAGTAAATGAAAAAATTCAATAAATCAAAAGTACTAAAAACTAATTTCATTAAAAATTAAATTAAAAAAATTATTCAAATTAATTAATAGCAACAAAATCTATTCTATATTACTAAGATGCAATTATCCATATCAACAACATTCCCTCTCCATTGTTCAAAGTTTTTTTTTTCTATTTTTACAATCTTTTAACATTTTTTAACATAATCTCTATCATCTCACATTCCACTACGTAACATTTCATTCTATTTAAATTTCAACAAAAAAATTTAAAAGGTAAGATGGAGAGGGGATATTAAAGGACAACTGTGTTTAGGTATATAGAATTTTACTAATTTAAAATCCAGCGGAATTTTATTTAAAAATAATAAAGTGATGCTTAAATTGGACTTGGATGATTCAATTCAATTGAGAAAGTCCTAGCTACTACTACTTTAATTCCTCTTAAAAAGAATCTGTCCATTGCATTGGTCCCAACTAGTAACATATATACACATGTATAAATTATGTATAAAATATATATTTTAAATTTATGCAGGTTGGCCAGGTCTAATCCATGCTTGAAGTATTAGGCTCATGCTCAACCCTAAAATGTGTGGACCTGATCTTGGGTTAGGGGTAATTTGGTTATAAAAGTATTTAATAAGGTTGATTGGGCATTCAATGGTAGTTTGGTCATGTAAAATACTTGGTGCTTTATGTGGACGATAAAACTCACTAATGGGCTCTTTGGAGGTTTTGAAAAGTCATGGTGAGCACATCCCATTTATTAATTATTATTTTCAAGGGTCAATCACGAAGACAGTGCCACCCACTATCTAGGGCTGGTGACAATTAGCTCTCTAACTTTGTTTTTGTTTTTTTTTTGACAAAGACTCATTGAGCTTTTGGATTTCACTACTTTGCTCTCAATTCTATTATTTGGATTGTTAGTAGATATGAAATTACAAAACTACCCATTTCAAAATTTATGGATCAAAAGAAAAACTATCAAACATAAATGTGGGCATTGCTAATGTAAGAGGGCGACATTGCATAAGTATGTGGACTTGGTTGACTCGGGGCTGAACCTGGGTCAAATCGGTGCATTAATTAAAAGCCTAGGTGCTAGACAATCCAATACAACAATAAATCAGCATGTATCCAATTAGAGAACTAAACATTATAGTAGTGAAAGTGTATCCAATTAAGTTGTGAACATTCTAGAAAGGAAATAAACATATGTTATAAATGAATAAATAAAGAAAATTCCATATTAAAGGGTAAACCTGGAATTAATAATTATAATAAAATTTTGTAATATGAAAAGTCTAGATTTCAACTCATCAAAGCTTTATAAATAGGGTTTCCATGCCCATTTTGGGGACCTTTTGGCCCACCTTTGATCCATTATCCCTCTACTGGCCCATTTCATCTCTTCTCCTCCCTTCTCATTCCCCTCCCATTTCCCCTATAATCAATATCTTTTATTTTTCTCCATTGCTGGAATTCTCTCCCCATTTCTTCCCCTTTTCGTAGAAGTCATTACCCAACTCATTATTTCAGGGTATAGGCCACTTCCATGTCACTACAATATCTACACCTTGTTGAAGAAAGAAACAAAATTCATCATCAAGGTTTTGAAAGTATAATAATCAAGCCCAAAAAGAGGTATTGTGATTTGGCTTGCGTATTTTTGTAATTTTGATAGTTTTTTCCTCTTAGTCCATCACATTTAGGTAGAGGTGTAAATCATGCCTGTTGCTTGTGGCTTGGCATGACGGCACGTGGGCCGTGCCGGGCATGGCATGATGAGTTAGGTCATGCTGGACTTGGGTTTCCAGGCCCATGGGCCGGCATGGCACAACATGACCAAGCGGGTCGTGCCACCCGCGTGCTGACCCATATATATTATATAATAATATAAAATATAAAATATATTAATATAGATATAAAATTTTATTATACTATTTCATTTTATTATTACATATATAAACGATTGTATACATCAAGTTCATATAAAATAAAAATTTTAAGAGTTTTTTTTTTATTTTTTTGTCTATTTTATTAATTTACTTTAATTTTTTATTATTTTTTCATTTTTAAAATAATATATACCTCTCATGACTTGGCCCAATCCATGGCCTGGCTTGGCCCATGGCATGACACGACATGGCAAGGGTCCGTGTGGGCTTTAGCCATGGGCCGTGCTAGGCTGACCCCCAAAATATCATAGTGGAGGAAAGCACGGCTCGGCTCAGCTCGCAAGCCAACACCACATGGTCCGCCAAAAGCACACGCCATCCACGGCCTAACCCAATTTACACCTTTAAGAGTAGGGGTGCTAATGGACTGGTTTTGGGTTGGACTCCATCCAAATCAAAATCCATTTGGACGGATTGGACAGACCAATAATATATATTGAATTTGGATTGATTGGATGGACCAATATCACATATTGGATTGGACCTGGTCTATCCATAATGAATTTATATTGGATTGAGCCAGTATCTGGTCCATTGATAGAAAATAAGAACATAGGTGTCAATGAACCAAGTTTGAGTTGAAACCAATCTAAATTAATAGGAATTTGAACAGATTGGACAGTCTTGGACTGGTCCAAAATATTCATTGGACCAGATCCATTTGTAATGGACTCACATTGGACTGGACCGGATTGGACCAAATCCAGTCCAATTGACACCCCTATGACTAGACTTGTTCATGGGCCGCGCCAGGCTTTCACTCTGTATTAATAGAATTTTCTAAGGCCCGAGCTCGAGCCCGGCCCGACCATTGGGCCTACAACTTGGGCTCAAGCCCGACCCTCATAAAAAGCCCAAAGCCTGGGCCTGGGCCCGAGCCCGAAATTTAGCCCATACTGTTAGTGACTGAATAGATAGATAGATAGAGATAGAGATAGAGATAGAGAGAGAGAGAGAGAGAGAGAGAGATTATAAAGAAAAGAATAAAAAATATATATTAAATTATAAATATATATTTTAATAAATATTATATTATTTATATATTTTATATAATGTATAAAATACATATTATATATTTTATCAAATATATAATGCTGAATCGGGTCGGGCCGGGCTCAGGCCGGGCTTTTTTGACAAATCCCGAGCCCGGCCCGAAACACAGTTGGGCTTACTGTGTTAGGCCCGAGTTCAGGCCCGCAGGCCTAATTACATGACCAAGCCCGACCGGGGTGCGGGCCGGGCCATCGGGCTACCCGACCCATGAACAGGTCTACCTATGACTAAGAGTAGGGATAAAGCGATAAAATCCAAAATTTAGGGGCCTTTATGGCTAAACATAATTCGGGGGTTAGGTGTCAAATTGTCATCACCCCCTAAGTAGAGAGTGGTAATCTGTAAATTTATTTTTTGTTTTCAATTATTGAATTTTATAAATGTTCTCTTTTTCTTCCAAGAAGGAGGGACGAGCGAAGCCGCGCAGAGAGGAGCAAAAACTTCACTCGGAAAGAAAGACGAGAAGAGAGGGAGAGAGAGCGAGAGACCTCGAAAGGGGAGCAGTTCGTCTTAGTTTGCCACGCTTTTTATTCAAGAATTTTCAGGTTAACTCTATTTTTCTTCTCATTTGTTAATTCTACATGGATCTTTGACGCAAGAGCTCTCGTTTGGAAGTTTTCTGACGAAAAGCTATGCAGATTTCAGCGAATTCTAGGTCAAAATGAGTGTCTCCTGTTGAAACATTGGATGTTTCTGTCGTTTTCTTTCTTTCTTGTTTGGAGTGGTTTCTGCATTCTTTGATGGAGTTCAAGTTTTCTGTTCGATTTATACTTCACATGAGTTCTGCTCTGAATGTATAGGAGGTGAAAGTGGGGAAGTTTGTGGTGGTTGTGTAAGGGTTTAATAAGTTTTGTTCATTGGGTCTTTTATAGGCGTCTTCTCCTGATTTCTTCTGGGTGCTCGTGGAATTTGAACATCTTGTTCATGAAGTTGGATTTCAGGCGGGAAAGAATTTTTATTTTCAGTTGCGGTATTTTGATCTAGGGTTTGTTTTCCTCTACTGAATATGGGTGTTGCTGATGTGATTTTGTTCGTTTGGATTTCTTTTTGGAAAATGCAGGTTTTAATTCTAGGGGGTGATTTATTTGTATAATTCATATTTGATTAATTGGATTCTAGGGCTTCCTTCTTATGAGAAGCAGAGTAAATATTTTATTTATTTATTTGTATATGAAGCATTTCTTACAATTTCTGAATCTAAACTAGAAATTCTGTTACTAAATCTGAATGGTAGAAGCTGGAATGAATTTTTAATGGCTTTTTTCCCAAAGTTTTTTTTTTTTTTTTTTCCTATGAAAAAGGATAGCGTTTTCTTGTTTCTCCTTGATTTAGAAAGTTAACAAAGTTGTTACACTCACTGGTCTTTAATATTGGAACAAAGGTTTGTCTTCTACAGTGCCATGATTGTATTGGAACTGACATTTTGTGGGTTTTACAGGAAGTACATATCCTAAATCAAGTATATCCATCCTTCTAGACTTCTTTTATTCGCAGTAGACTGAATTCCTATGCCTCTTTTCAAAAGAAAAGCTTTTCCTCTGGTGGAACCACCCCGGGATTTGGAGCCTCACGAGATTATTTTCCAAGTTCGCTTCACAAAAGAGATATTTCGTGATTATCAGTATCCTCTATGTCTTTAGGGATAATGACATGAACTTTCAAGAAAGTTATTATTTTATGCATTTGAATTGTTACATTTTCTTTCTTATCCATAAATATTGTGACAAAGGTTTGGTCTTCCAAGTCTTGTTTACCAAGGAGAAATTGACACTGCCATTATTTTGCAACCTAAGATATCAGACCATTTTATTTATCTGGATCTTTCCTTAACCTAAATCAGAGAATATCTGAAGCGGATAAATCTATATCGTAGAAGAGTATGGACATGTAAAGTTACTGGGAAGCAAAACTTAACATATGAGGAGGCTTTGGTTTCAGAGTGTCGTGCAACTGAGAAGGTTCAACAGTTCCCTAATGAGCTAATGGCACCTGTGCTTCGTATGATCCAATTCAGTAAGGACTCATCATTAGGAAGAAGTGATGTTTAAATTTGTTCACCTTGAAACATTCTCTCTCTCTCTCTCTCTCTCTTGATCTGCAACACAGAAAAAAGATTTCATTAATTAGAAGAAAATAGGATTACAACAAGAAGTTGTGAAAGAAAACCAGCTTTAGAAGCTGTCCCAAACAAATTACATTTGAGCCCAAAACATATATGTTCTATGTACCCCTTGCTTGGCTAGGCTATCTGCCAAGCTATTGGCGGTTTTCCTCACCCATCTCACTTGGATTGACATGTCCCGTGACAGCCATTTGTAATCTCTTTTTTCTTTAATAAAATTTTTTATTTACAACAAGAAGTTGTGAAAGAAAACCACCTTTATAAGCTGTCCCAAACAAATTACATTTGGGCCCAAAACATATATGTTCTATGTACCCCTTGCTTGGCTAGGCTATCTGCCAAGCTATTGGCGGTTCTCCTCACTCATCTCACTTGGATTGACATGTCCTGTGACAGTCATTTGTAATCTCTTTTTTCTTTAATAAAATTTTTTATTTACTTATCATCTTCAAGCTTTAGTTACAATATTTTTATTGATATCAACAAAAAAATTTCTTGAAATAAGGCAATGTGAAGATTCTCATGACTAGGGGGGGAACCTTCTAATGCTTGTTGTTTTACTTGGTTCACTCTTTAGGCTTTGCTTGTACAAAGAGTGGTAGATTTTTGAAGTACATTGTTGAACTTAAGAATGCGTTTTTTTTTTCTTTTATTAAGAGGATTACTAATGAAGGGCTGAAGGGCAATGACTAAAGAATTACTAATGTCGATTGGTCATTGCTAGGCTCTTAAGGAAATATTTCAAGGGTTGAAGTTGCACGGGGTGGGTGGAGATCAGCTGGACTTGTTGGGGCTATCAATGAAAAGGGTGGAAGAATTGGGTTCAGTTTGGATTTTTGAGAAGAAGTTGGTTTTGGAATTGGAAAGGATTAATGAGAAGTCTAAGGATCTCAAGGATTTTAGGAAGGCTCCTCTTGCAGTAAGAAGATTCAGAAGTCAGAGAAAGCATTGGAATGTCTTGGTGTCAAAAGACCTTGCTAAATTAAAAGGAGGTCTATTTGGGATTGTGCCAAACAAGAAGGTGATGAAATCAAGTCTTAAAAAAATAGAGATGTCTTATCCTAGATTTTTTTTCTTAGGTTGCTAGGTTTTTGGCATGCGTCGAGGTTTTGTTTTCTTTGTTTTTTTCTAAGTAGGGTTGGTTAATTTGTTTTTGTTGTTTGGAAGATATATTTGTGGGGTTTAGGTTGCCTGGTTTTGATTGTTTGTTGGACTGTCTTTCTTTGGTTGAAGAGGTATCTAGTGTGTTTTTTCTTGTTTGGTTGGGAGTAGGTTTATTTTTTCTTCTTCTCTCTCATGTGACTCCTGGTCACCTTTCTTGTAATATTCTTTTTTTTCTTTTAATAAATTTTATTTTATTACCATTTACCAAACAAATAGAGGTGTTAGAACGTGGGTGATTTAGGAATTGATGGAGAAAGTGGACAAATGAATGTATCCAATTATTTTTGATTGGTGTGAATGTATCAAATTGTTCATTACTCAGTCTTGGTGTATTATGAGGTTATGTATTTTTTCCTAATCTAACAAGGATTGAGGCAAAGAGACCCACTTTCTCCTTTTCTCTATGTGTCACATAAATTGCCTAATCACCAAACAAGACAACTTGGGTCATTTTAGAGGTTGGAGAATGGGTAGATGTTATGTTGTGGTGACACGCCTTCAGTTTGCAGATGATCATCTAATGGGAAAAGTGCAGCTGTCATATTCCCTGGACACTTAGGCATGCTTTTAGGGAAGTGGAAAGTTTCTCAAAGGATTTAAATGTTGCATTTAAGTGGGTGTGAAGAACAGCAAATGGGATGGTTGATACCCTAGCAAAACAGGGGGTCATGAAACAACAGCTTTTTGGGTATCTTTGTAAACTGTTACGTTCTTGGGTTGTTGGTTTTTCCATCTTGTTGTATTAATCTTAAGTTTCTGTTAATAAACTTTTCCTTGCTGATCAAAAAAGAAAAAACATTGGAGATATTCAAGGACTTCACAGAGGATGATTTTGTAAGAGCTTGGGGAGTGATAACTGTTTCTTCAATCAGTAAGCAAGTCCATGTAGAATTGAAGCCTCCTTCTAACAGCAGGGTAAAGCTGAGTTTTGATGGGAGTTCACAGGGAAACCCAGGTCCATCTGGGATTGGAGGGGCAGTGAGGGATGGAAATGGATCTATCTTGGCTTTCTTCTCGGGTCCTGTAGGGATACTCCTGAAATGCAGAAATTATGGCTCTGTTGTATGGTGTGAGATTGTAAAACAGCTAACATCAGAGGAGTGAAGGTTGAAGGGGATTCAAAGCTTGTAATAACTTGGTTACAGGTTGGTAATTAAGGAGTTTGGATGTAGGGGTGTCCACGATTTGGTTAACTGAACCATGGGCAGTTTTTGTAAACCGAACCGGTACCACCGGTTTTTCCATTTCCCTGAACCGAAACCGAACCGGTACCACTGGTTAATCGGTCCGTCGGTTTCGGATTTTGACTGGTTTGGTTCTTCGGTTTTTTATATTTATAATATATATTATATAAATATATGTATAATATTATGTTATAAATAATAAATGATATATAATATATTATAAATATTATAAAAATATACAATATATATAATATATTTATAAATAGATTATTATAAATATAATATATGTATATATTTATATATATAATGAATATTATATTTATATATAATATATAGAAAATATGACATATATTAAAAATATATATAAAATATACATATAAATATATATATATATATATACCGGTCGGTTTGGTTAACTGCCGGTTTTTTTGTAGGTTAACCAAAAACTGAACCGGTCCTTCGGTTTTTCAAAAATTCCAAACTGATCGGTTTGGTTAACAGCATTTTCTGGTTCGGTTTTCTTGGTTCAGTTCAGTTTTCGGTTTTTCGGTTTTTCATGGACACCCCTATTTGGATGCAGAGACAAGCCCTAAGGGAAATAAAGAGCATAGCCAGTGAGGATGATGCTACCTTCTTTTGGGTAAAACAGTCTGCAAATAACTTGGCAGATTACTTTGCCAGGCAAGGTGTTTCATGGGATCATATGTTCTGGGCTATATTGTAATACCGTGGGGGTTCCATGTTAATATGACCTGGATTGTAATCTGGTTTGCTTTCAAAAGTTAATTAAACCTGTGTTATTGATAACAAAGTAGGGAGATCTTACACTCTCTGGGAACTGGAAATATTCTTTATTTAGCAAACAGTGATCTGTAACTTCAACTATACTTGTAATAGAGGAAGCTAGCAACTTTTCTTCCTTAGCTCAGTAGGAAGTTGATGAGTAATACTTTTCATATTCAAGCTAGACATTATTGGTAGATAAGCTAACTCTTTTATCATTATTTTGTACATGAAAAGCCTACATCTATTTTCTTGAAGATTGAAATGCTTATGGTTCTATGCCCGAGATTTGCTATTTTCAATACAACATGCATCCTTACTACAAATTACTGGCCTTTGGCTTACCTGTAAATTATATTAGCTTATAATTTTAACTTTACCATTCTCATACACTATACTCCTAAAATGGTCTGTTGTTCACTCTTTAATCAAAGTGCATTGCTTTTGCAGGCACCCTCAGGTTAAAAGAGCTTATCAACACAATATGTACAAAGTTGCAGGAACATTTATCAGAAGGTTTGGAGTTGTATGGAAGGAAAGAAAATTGTATTTATCCATGCAAAATACTGAAAGTTCTGGAGGATGATATTGACAATTTGCGTTATGAAGTGGGATGGCTTGATAAAGATAAGAAGTTAACTGATACTTCAGTAGTAAACGCAGATGTACTGTTTCGGAAGAAGTTGCCTTTCAGTAGAGGTGTGCTGAAGTCTTTTATTCGGGAATCTACCTCTCAAAGTTGTCCTTGGGTGATTCATGATAAATTAGCAAAGAAACATGGAATCTCAATTGAACCTCCACAGGAATTGTGGGATATTATCATGCAGAGTGGAAGTCTTGGTGGCAATAAACAAAAAAAGAAAAACAAGGAAGTAAAAGAGACCTTGGTAAATTTCTAATCTAACGTGTGCTTGGTTTTCTAGTGGAGTTCACAGATATCTTGATTGTTGTGATGTTCTTGATATCAGGATGCTGAAAAAAGAGAGACTAATAAAAATAAAAGGAAAAAACTGGAATGTAAGAACTCTGAAGTTGTGACCATGACAAAGAAAGCAAAGAAAGGTAACTTGACCATGGCAATTATGTTATTCTTGCGCCTAATTTGCATCACCCTTGAATTTGAATACTCCAGCTAGTTTATATGATATGATCTTAGCTTTAGTGAATTTATTTATGAACCTATGTACAAGAGGTCCTGGTAATGAGTTGTCAAGTCAGACAATGAAGCAGCACATTAGCATTGGAGTTATCTATATTTATCTTAAAATGTTGTGCAGTTTATATTTTCAAGTCACTCCTGTATTTTAAAAATGATTGGTTCTCTGGTTTATGCAGAAAATGGAAAACCAAAGGAAGAACCCATTAAATACCCAATTGATGATCTCTTAGTGCAGCCTGCTGCTGATGATCCAGTTTTTACTGATCGTCCTTCTCCATCAAGGGATTTTGGTGTTCCAATGGATTGTGTTGGGGATCTTTTAATGGTTTGGGACTTTTGCTCTTCTTTTAGCAGGCTGTTGCATTTGTGGCCATTTTCTCTTGAGGATTTTGAAAATGCAATTTGTCACAAGGATAGCAATCTGATTCTTATTGTGGAATCACATTCGTCACTTCTCAATTTGCTTATAAAAAACGAAGGCAACTATTTCATGGCTATACAAAATAAAAAGCGGAAAGCAAAGGTGATATTCCTATTGAAATTTAAATTATTACTTGATATTTTCGTGGTTGTACACACAGTTCCTTTTATCTTATAAATGTTGGTTTCCCTAGTACTGATTGATTGGAGATGTAACCAAGAAAATTTCTTATTCTGGGCAAATTTATATGTTTCTTTCCTTTCCAGATTACATTAATGAATTGGACAGAGTATTTGTGTGACTTCTTGGAGATGGTTGATATACCTGAACTATCCAGTCAGATACCAACAATAAAACGTGGTCATTATGGCCTTTTGGATATTCATGTTAAACTGGGCATCTTCCAGGAACTAGTTGCTGAATCTCTTGAAACCGATGCTGTTAGAAAAAAGTTGGAAGAGTATATTGAGCAACAGCAGGCACTTGCTGCCACAAAAAGGGGTGAAGCACTGGAGGAGGCCCGAAAGAGGAGAGAAGAGAAGGTACTTCTGAAAGCAGGGTGTAACATCAAGGAAGTAAAACAAGGACGTGATTTGGAGAATGGAGGGGGTAACTTGCAAGCTTCTGAAAATGGTTTTGGTCCTCGACAGAATGGAGATGTTCTAGAGGAAAGAAATGGAAATGTTTTATCTAAAGGGAACCGCGTTTCAGAAAACAGGTAAGGAAGTGTAATTTTTCTTTCTTAATTAAGACTTTGCTGTTATTAACTTATTAAATTAAAGTGTTTTGTATTTATATAGAAAATATTTCTTGAAGTCCAGAATGTTGATATGGCAAGTATAAGGTCAAAAGTCAATATTCACCCATAAATCAACTAACCACTATCTTATATTTGTCCTTCGAAGAGAGGAAAGGACAAAAAGAAAGAAGAAAAGATTTATGATGGCTTTGATTTTTCTGCAGTGAGTGCAGTCATATAAATGTGACATCAAGAAAAATTACAAAGAAGCAGAAGACAGATGTTGTTAATGCTACGGGGAAAAGCAAAGAGCAATCTAAGATTGAGGAAAATCGAAAGGAACTGAAACGGATGAAGGATAAAGAAAAGGAAGCTCAGGAAAAGAAATGTAGAGAACAGAGGGTAAGATGCCACCAAGTTTCCGTGTGTGTGGAGTGGGTATATATATACTTGTGTTTTGACTTCTGTCTTGCAAACAGAAAGAGCATCTTGAGCGGGAGATTGAGAAACGTTTTATACGCACCAGCCCATTGGGAAAGGATAGAAACTATAACAGGTATTGGTATTTTCGGCGTGATGGAAGAATATTTGTTGAGAATTCAGATTCCAAGCTATGGGGCTACTACAGTTCAAAGGAGGAGGTAACTAAGCTACACGTTCACACAAAAATCAAACTTTTCATGATTCCTTTCTTATTCCAGTGGTTCTGACTTGCAATGTTTAAGCAGCTTGATGCATTGATGGGTTCACTGAACTGCAAAGGGGAGAGAGAGAGGGCTCTTAAAAAACAGCTGGAGAAGTACTATCAGAGGATATGGTGAGTTTAGTCCCTGGCTTTTCTTGAATCAATCGGTGAATGGATGCTTTAAAGTTTCATGAAGTCACAGTCACCACTACTGCATTTGACATATGCAACATATATCTCTAGCCCATAGTTGTTAGTGTCAATGTTCTGAGTCATAATCATATTGTAATCGTAGTGAAAGTTGAATTTAATCGAATCATGAATCATAGTTGTCAAGGCGATGCTTAGATGACAAGGCTCCCATGGGGGTCACCTCACTTAAATGCCGAGTTATTTTGTACATGGTGCTGTGAAATATTTTGCATATTCTTTATGATGTGGTATTTGTTTTTGTTTTCAAAAACAAAACCAACCATATTGTTGAACACCCCCTATTTTTCATTTTGTGGATTTATAAACTATTTTCTAATTATTTTCTTCTTTGTTTGGGTTCAATCAACATAAACTTCAAAACTTCACAAGGAAGAACTTAGAATTCTGTCAATCAACAGTTAACACATTCTTAATGATAAAAAAAAAGTTAACACATTCTTTTGTTCTGTTATTACAACAAAAATAGAGGCTAAGCCCTTATGAATATGCTGATTTTCTATGTTTTGTTATGATTTTTATGAAGGTTAGAGATAATTAAGTAGTCGAATCGGACTGCAATCAGTCCTAGGTTCAATGTGAAATAAACAAGTGAAAGATTGAGAAGAGAGAAGGAGACGAAGAGAAGAGAAGAGGAGAAGAAGAACTCGAAGAGGAGAATTCAGAAAAGAGAGATTAATATTAATTATTCAAATAAAGGTAAAAGGGCTGAATTACCCTTACTGCTTACATGGCAAAAGAAATAAAAGAACCAACAGAAATAACTGAAATAACTGCTAACAGAAAACTACTATAAACAATCATAAACTAACTAACACATGTGGGGACCACATCAATGTTCTCTACAAATTACAAGTGAAAGATGGTTGCTGGTTGCTATGGGATCTAGGGAATTTAACTAGGATCCATGATTTTTATTTAAAAAAGCCCCTTCACCTAGGCAATGTCTAGGTGCCCGCCTAGGTGACTAGGTAACAAGGTGACGAGAGAGGAAGTGAAAGGTAAAGACTGGATAAAAAAGGGATGATGGGGGCTTTGACACTTAAAAATTCTACCTAAGGAAGCAAATTTTGAACATGAAGGAAAAGGGATAGAGCAGGAGGAAGGATTGAAGGATCAAGAAAGTGAAGATGAGCATATTCTTAATCAAGTGGCAGAGAAGAAAATTGAATTGAAGATAATTATGGATGGTGAAGTTTGAGTGAGTAAAATTATGGATCTTTTTTTCTTGGATGGGGAGCAGTTTGAAAGGAAGATCTTTATAGAATTGGAAGTTAAGGATCATAAAAAGGGGTTCTGGATGTGGAGTGGTTGCTAATTAGGTTAATGTTGTCGGTTGGGGTGTGGTTTCCTTATTTGTATGTGTTGTAGTTTTGTTTGTTGGGTTGGTCTTGGGGGCAGTGTGTTAAGTTTCTTGTGGGGTGGGTTTGTCTTGGTGCTCTTTGTTTTGATTATCTTTTTTGTCATTAGGTGATTCCTCATCACTTGGAGTTGTATGTTTAGTATTTGAGTTTTAATGACTTTTCTTTTTTATTTATCTTCAAAGAAGGTGCCCCCTTGTTGCCTTGCCTCACCTTGATACCTTGAAAGTCAAAACTATATCATGAATTGTATCGTAAAAGACTATTCTTGCTTTTTCTAAACTTGTCAAGAAATTAAAAATAGATATACTAAAAACTTTATATATTGTAGATGTTCAAGACTGCTATCAGTCTTGATCACTAAGAAGTTTCAGATTCAATGAGAAGAGAAAGTGAAGAAGTAGAAGGAAGAGTGGTGAGAGAGCAGTAGAACACCGATTTTGAGGAGAAGAACAGAATGTCAATATTCTGCCGTCGCCACTTTAATTTAATATATATATGTTATGCTAGTTACATGAAAGGACATATCTGCCCTTGGTGTTTACATCATAACTGCTAACACATAACAAACAATATAAAACTGAAAAATAAATAGCAACTAGGAATAACAGAATAACAAATTGACCACAGC